TATGGGAGCGGGGGGCGTGTCTTGCTAGTCGTGAGGAGGCGGGGCTTCTTTCCCGCTGGGGCTCCTGGGAGGGTTCTAAAATATTCTTGAGGCCACGGGGGCGCCTGCGAGGCGGGAACGCAGCTCCGGAGCCGACTGGAGCTGGACCCGCCCTCAAGCCGGCGGGAAAACCTTGAGGAGATATTTTCTTTTTTAAACATTAAGAAATTTGAGGATGGTGGGGCAGAACAACTAAATCCCATTTGCCTGTGATTCCTTAGCCGGAAAACTGTCAAAATCTGTGGTAAAAAGAGATTTTTTTTTTTCCCCAGTACTTTCTTGAGATAGTTTCATCTTTTCATGGACTGAAGGGGGTAAAAAATGCATCACCATGTGGTTGGATTCTTATATTGGCCAGTTTATGCTTTATGGTGTCCCTGGTTTACGTCTCTGGAGGTGTTTGGGGCCAATACCCGAGCAGATGTGTGGGTCTCTTTTAAGGGTTTTCTTAGGTTGGAACAAAATACAAATCGCGGTGAATTGCTGTTGGACGGTTTTCTCTGAAAGGGGGGGGAAGTTCAGCCAAGAAGGCCCTCAAAGCCTTTCACAGTCCATAACGAGTAGGGTGGAACGGAGGCATGGAAACATTTTATTACTATTATTTTGGTCAGTGATTCTCGTTCTCTTGGGGGGCGGGGGGGAGAAAACCCGAAATAGTTTGGGATTACACCTTCAGGATTTTCAGAAAAGCCTGCATTCCCCCCAAAGCGTCCAGGTCTGAGTGAGGAAAATAAGGAATTATAAGAGGAGACTTCGGTGTTAAAAGAATGGGCCCAATGCGTTTTAATTCTCGGAGGTTTAAATATACACACTCAGTGGTTGACACGCTCAAGTCCCCTGGGTCCCAGGTGTCAGTGAGTCTGTGAAGAGCCCACAGGCCCCACCCAAGTCTCACTTTACACGTTCCTCAGAGACAGGACAAATCCTAGGCCAGTTTTATAATTTTATTACAATGAAAATGCTTTAAAGTGCCTACTGTGAAAAGTTAAAAACAACCTCATGGATTAAATAAATCAACATTCTTCCATTTGGTGGATTTACATGCAGCCTTTAAAATATATATACTTGTAGAAGTATCTATTGACATGGAAAGAAATTAGTTTTACTTAAAATTACAGTTGAAAAAAGCAGATTACAAAATAGTATGAACAGTGATTTTTTTTGTTAGAATATATATATATATTCTCTATATAGTTGTGTATATATATATATATATATGATTCTGGAATGATATAAACCAAAGTGTTTATAAGTGAATTTAATTGTCTTCTTTTTGTTTTGCTGTATTTTATAAACTTTTTGACATGGGATATGTTACTTGTGTAATTCTATTGGTTATTTTATTTTATTTTTTTTTTAAAGATTTTATTTATTATTTTTTTGACAGAGAGAGACCTAGCGAGAGAGGGAACAAAAGCAGGGGGAGTGGGAGAGGGAGAAGCAGGCTTCCTGCTGAGCAGGGAGCCCGATGCGGGACTTGATCCTAGGACCGTGGGATCATGACCTGAGCCGAAGGCAGACGCTTAACTGACTGAGCCACCCGGGCTTATTGATTATTTTAAAATAGCTTCTAATTTAAGTGCTCATGGAATGCTAAAACAAAGTGCTATGGTATTGTTTTAAAGGAGGTTCACAGTATGTTTTTCACTAAGAACTAAATTTCTTGGCCATGTTTTTGAATGTATAACTAATTTTAAGTTGATATGTAACCTTTTAAATGAATAAGTAACAATGTGATTTTAGCAAGTTTGTGACAAAAGGAGAAAATGCATTTGGGTCAAATATATTTGTAACTCTTTGATGAAATGTCTTAGTTGTTACTTCAGAAACAGGGAGCCTTAGATTGGAGTTGTAGTTATGTATATGTACATGTACGTGCACATGTACATATACAAAAGACAATGTTTTCTGATTGGAGCAATAGTGACACAAAGTCACTGCCTATTATGAATTTTTTTTAAGAATTATTTTTTGGTGTAAGTAAATTATCAGTGATTTTAATAAGTTCTGTCTAAGAAATGTTCACTTCAAAATCAAGTTGTGTAGGCCCTTCCTAAGACTTATAAGTAACCAAAAGTGGAATTAGGATGAAAATCATTGTTCATTTATTTATTCTAGTCTTTAATTTTACAAGACTTTAATTTCACTGTTTATTTGTGTTATACAGCACAGCACATAATTGGTAATAGTATTGTAATCTTAATCTTTTAGAACTCGTAAATTTTAAAAGGTCTAAACTTGGAATTTCTATTTCTTATCTCTATTTTTACTGTTTCCAACAAAGAAAATGTCAGTACTCAGTTTTAAAGAAACAGAAAAACTTTACTACAAAATTTTAAAGGTACATTGATATTTTGATATTTTTTTGGAAGGTAAAGATTATAAAAGCAACATACTAATCGACAGATCTTGAATGTTTTGAATTTGTTATATTGGTTTTTTGTGTCAAATCTTTTACTTTTTAAAGATTTTGTATATTTTCTTAGACTATATCTCATCCAAATACATGTCTCTTACTCTACTAAAATTCTTTATCTAGAATATTTGGCTAAGAGGGAAAAGACTTAAACATTTAATATCATGTGAGATGAATAAATACACTCTTATTGGTGGGAACTCCGTAAATTGGACATTATATTAAAAGTTTTGTAAATAGAGGGGTGCCTGGTTGACTGAGTCAGTAGAGCATGTGACTCTTGATCTTGGGGTCATAAGTTTGAGCCCCACGATAGGGGTAGAGATCACTTAAAAAAAAGTTTTGTAAATAGATAGACAGCTATTGCCCATCAAAGTATCAACTTCTTCATTTTAAAAAACAGCTCTTTGTTGCTATAATTTCCTTTCTCCTTTGTCCCTTGTATTTTATTTTTCTAACCAGGATAAATTCATGAGATAAGAAAAAGGATGGCATCTAGAGTAAATACCAGTTTCACTTTGATTCCCAACCAGAAATATAGACGTAGTAATCGTCGATCCAGCAGCTATTTTTCCAACACCCTTGGCTCAGATTCTCAGCCCTTATCAACGCTTGGAAATTTTAAAGCCTTGCCATTGGAAATATTCCAAATAATCTTAAGATATTTGTCAGGTGAGGTCTGGGAACTATGAGTAGGCTATATAAACACTTGAATATTTTTTTCCCCCCTCAAGAACTAGTTTGTCATCTTAGGCTCTGCTAGAATATTAATGGTATTTACATTATGTTTATTTTCTAAAGTTTCATCATTGTTAGGTAAGAGGTACAATGAAGAAAGTATGACACTCAAACTCTTTAAAGCATGCCTCTAATTATAACAACATGTAACTTGACTGTTACATCCCTGAATATTTCCAATTCATTGAACAGGAGATTTAAAACAATTTTAAGATTTTCCCCCTTTTCCCCACTTTTTTATATATTTTATTATTTAGTATATTATTAATGAGCTAACTTATAAGTTAATAGATTGTAATAATAATGATGTTCTTGTAATTAAGCTATTTATATATATATGTATATATATTTCTTTTGGTAGTGAAGGATATCAGCATGCTAAGCATGGTGTCCAAAACAGTCAGCCAGCACATTATTAATTATATTTCAACCTCGTCAGGAAGCAAAAGACTTTTACTACAGGATTTTCATAACCTTGAGCTGCCTAGCAAGAGACAAGACTCTGCCATACTGGAACATTACAGATCTCTAGGTAATTTATGTAATGAGAATTGTAACTAGTAAAAAACTACACTTAATTAAGGGGATTTTATTAAACAATTCTGTAAGGCCTGTGGGAAATGGGATATTTCTTAAAGTGTGCCTATTTCTATGATGCTTTTATTCTTTAGTGTGAAGGCTTTCCCATAATAGTCCCTTATACGTATCTTTAAAGATGAGAGAATGCACTTTAATGTAAAGTATCAGTCCTTGTGATTCATGTGCATACAGTGTCACCTTTGCTTATTGTCTGGGTGGCTTACCAGTGAAATTGATGTATTTTCAATGCTTTACTTCCTGTGGATCTAATGAGTTTTATTTCTAAACTTCTTTTCTCTTTCAACCATAATCTAGTCCTTAAAATTGAAAAGAAATGTAAACACATTATGGTGGAAGATCACTTATTCTCTTATCAGAAACAATGTGTTTTTCTTAAGTACTCCACACATTTACTAATAAATCATTATGCTATAATAAATTATCAAAGGAAATTCCATATAATCTCTTACCTTGATTTATAATCATCTATGTCTTTCACCCCATTCACTGATGTGCTGAAATAAGATTCTAATTTTGTGCTGAAATAAAATTCTAATTTTGACTTGACTAGTGGCACCAGTTTAATTATGAAACTACCTTATAATTAACTGAAGCATAGCAATAAAACCAAAAATTAAGGTGATGTTTTCAATTTTTAAATAAAGGCATAATAGTGAAGTTAAATAATTATTACCTTTTAGTAGCCCAACGATGTCTAGCTTTAAGATAATAAAATAAGACTATATCCATGTGTAAATATATAAAAGTATATTTGATATTAATAAAATTACTATTATATTTAGATTAATAAGATTAAATGAAAGGTATGTAATCTGATTACAGTGTTATTGGTTTCAGTATTTGTGATTAGACTTAGTAAAGCCTGTAATAGAATATAGCAAGACTTTTTGCTACATGTCATTGTAAATATCTTTTTTCAAACATCCTTAGTTGCAGAATAAGTGGTACAGTAAAAGAGCTTATTTTTTGGTTTTGACCTGAAAGAATTTTTTTTTTCTCCCTGACCAAGACTCAGTCGCTCAAAGAAGCAAAAAAGCATTAAGATAATTATTTGGATAATTCAGTGAAAAATACAAATATGTATTGATCTTAATAGCCAGCTTTTAAAAACAGTTTTATTCATGTAATGATTTCAACCTTCCATTTAGTTTTGGTGCAGACACCTGGCTTATGACTGATTCTTTAGGTAAATGTTTGATGTACTTACCATTTTCTCATGTTGCCATTCCTATCTGATCCGTTCTTGTTTTCAGACATTAAAATAACATTTCCAGAATTCTGTGCTCTGAAGATTAAAAATTTTAATTTGCTTCTTCATACAAGACAGCGCAGATGGCCAGTGTGAAAAGAACATTACATCTGACTCTATTTTAGTAGGAAGAAATTTTAAAAGTTGGTCTCTAAAGGGTATAGCAGAGCACCTGTGTTAAAAAAATAAATAAGTCAGCCAGTGTTGGTTTTTATGGTAAATTGCAGTCCTTAAAAATAGGAGTTTTACATTAGAAAAAGCAACCAGCATACAATTATAGCTTACACTTCCCCAGCTATGATCTGCCATGGGACTGGATGCCAAACATGAAAGGAAAAGAACTCAGCTTAAAAACCAAACACTGAAAATGTCTTTTTATGTACAAAAATAAGGAGGGTTTATATTCAAACTCAATTCTGGTCATGTGTTGTCCAAACATAGCAACTTCTAAAAATAAATTGGATTCCCATAGATTCTACAGAATTATATAAAGCAGCTATCATATATGTTAAAAAAAAAAAAGTAAATGCAGAGAAGATAAAAATGGAGAAATTCATGATATTCAGGTATTTATTTTCCTACCATATATCTTATTTTTAGTGTAAGGAAAACATTGCCCTTATAGGAATGTTAACAATGTATTGCCATTTTAGGAAAACAGAACACATGAAGTTAGAGGAAACAAATCATACACTTCTGTCACTGTAGTTCAAGTTATATGTCACACTGGTTTTTTTTCTTTTTTAAAATATCTGAACACAAAATTCTATACATTCTTAACATGTATGCCCCATAAAAGGATATCTTTGAAGGAAGAAATGAATATTTCATCCAAACTGGATACTTTCTGTGAGTGAAAATAACTTCTAACCTCTGAAATGTTAAGTACTTACGATTTAAAAAAAATTTTATATGGAGAAAGGAATACAAAATCGCTTTTCTCATTCTTTCCATGTTTTACATTAAAAGCTCTTAAAGCATTTTCCTTTGTGAACATGTTAATTTCAAGAAATATTTGAATCTGTTTTCTATAGAATAAAGAGACAGTTCCACTAGTGTATCTTTGTGTCTGTTGTTATATCTTTTTAAATCTAAATACTTTCAATATCTGTCTTATAACATCAATTTCATCATTTTTGTAAGATTTTATACCACTTAGTGGACATCACAGTTACTTGGTAAACACCATATATTGTAAGTGTTTCGTACCCTTGCTCCCAAACTTCCTCTTCAGAACCATATCAGCTCACAGTCCACTGTGATTTACCATACTTGACTTTCAAGGAAATGTTATGCTGTACTTTACAGGTACTCTTACATTAATTGTATTGTCATTTTTTTCATGTGTCTCTTTACATCCTCAGGTCTGCTATTTAAAAGATGTACGTTGCTGCTACCCACAAGGGAAAGACTAAAGTACATTCACAAGATACTGGCAGAAGTAAGATCACACTTCTCAGTTGGTTCATAGTCTTGATTTCTAGTAAAGATATTTTTTATTAATATCTTACACTCATTTTAGATCCATCTTCAATTATTAGGATTTCATGAATTAGTACTAATAATTGATTGATGATAATCTAATACTATACCAAGTACCCAGAGATTATAAAACACCAAAATATAGTAGTCTTTTACTTATCATAAAACAATTTTTATGTATACCTAAGAATATCATTCAAGTTTATTAGATTTATCAGAGTATAAAAGTATTTTTTATCCTACATGAGAGTCCTGAGGCTGTTTTAAAGTGTTTTAGATATTTTATTAAAATGAAATAATTTCTGAATGTTAATCTTACTGTTTATAAATGTATGAAAACATAGGAAAGTATTTTTAATATTAAAATAACAAAACTTTTGAGAGCGTCTGGGTGGCTCAGTTGGTTAAGCGTCTGACTGTTGGTTTCAGCTCTGGTCATGATCTCAGGGTCGTGGGACTGAGCTCTGTATCAGGCTTGGCGCTCAATGGGGAGTCTGCTTGAGATTCTCTCTCCCTCTCCCTCTGCCTCTACCCTCCCACGCACACATGCACACTCTCTCTAACTCTCTCTAAAATAAATAAATAAATCTTTAAAACATTTTAAAAATAAAATAAAATGTTTATGATGATTTATGACTTGAATGTGTATCCATGTGTTTAGGCATAATCTCTGTATAAGTTTTGAGTTTCACTATACAAACTCAAACATACATCCAACACTGATGGTTCAGTTCTACACTCAGTAGTATGCAAACTGTTTCTGATGCATTAGCTTTTTTTCATGTCAGTATTTGCACTGAGTTCAGGTCTATATTATTACAGCAGCTTCTCAGATGATCTTTCTGCATCTATTTCTTTACTTCCCAAGACATTCTGTATGCTGAATCAAGGTTATTCATCCCTTTCATTGAGTTAATTTTCTTACTTAAAAAATCTTTCAGTAGCTACTCAATTTCAGCAAGATAAGGTCTAAAGTCTGTGGCTGGTATTTAGGGCTCTTCCTAACAATACAACCTTACTCCCTACTACATTGAGCCCAGTTAAGCATGTCGTATCTTTCTTCCCACAAAAAGCTTCTTATTCCTACCACTATACAGTTTTGTCCTTATTGTTCCCCTCACCTATCTTTCCTATCTTTTTCATTCCTTATATTTTTTTTAAAAAGATTTGATTTATTTGACAGAGACACAGCGAGAGAGGGAACACAAGCAAGGGGAGTGAGAGAGGGAGAAGCAGGCTTCCCGTGGAGCAGGGAGCCCGATGCGGGGCTTGATCCCAGGACCCTGAGATCATGACCTGAGCCAAAGGCAGATGCTTAATGACTGAGCCACCCAGGTCACCTCTCATTTCTTACATTTGAATCCTACTTTAAGACAATGCTTTTTTCACATGCTTCAGAAGCTGTTTTGATCATTCCCAAATTTATCTTGTTTCTGCTTTCACAGTATCTGATACAGTGTATATTTAGTCATTTTAACATTTATGTATATTCTAACCTGAATTATCAAAATAATTTCACATGCATGTATTTATGAACTCCTTTAAGATAGACTGTTTTATATTTCTTTTGTGATCTTACCTATGTAACACAATGCTAATTAGTTAGCATTTTAGTTATTTTCAATTAATACTGAAAAATTCTTGCATATTTCCATTAAATTTCAATGTCCAGTCGTTGTACAGTTCCACTGAAAAAGAGGAATTAATAGTTGTTCTCTTTACAGGTTTCCTGTTTTAAATTCAATGGCTGTGCAGCTCCTATCCAATGTTTAGGATTACCATGTTATGGCATGTTTTTACAGGTACATTTTTGCCTTCCTACCATCCCTCTTCTAAGATAGATTTTTGCTTTTGGGGGAAGAAGGACAGGTAATATAAACACATATATTTATATAAAATTCAAAAGGTACAAACTTGTATAAAATGAAAAGTAACTCTACCATCAAGGCCTGTCTCTGGTCTACTGAGTTGACTTCAACAGAAGTAACTGTTGTTAGCAGTTTCTTCTATGTCCTTCCACAGAGAATGAGATTAATTCTTAAACTACTAAAATCCAATTCAACTGTTTTAAGAAAAATTTATGATTAATCAACCTTTTCAAAGTCTAACTAGAGTGGCGTACCATTTGAATTTCCTTTTCATGTATGTTTAACTGTACATTCTGGTTGGCTCAAAGATAATTATTAAACTTTGTCCTAATAAAAAATTTTTGCTCGTTCACATCAAAATGTTATTAGTAAATGCTCATAATTGTCGCATTAAGATGAGATCATTATCGGGCGCCTGGGTGGTCCAGTCGTTAAGCGTCTGCCTTCGGCTCAGGTCATGATCCCAGGGTCCTGGGATCAAGCCCTGCATCGGGCTCCCTGCTCCGCGGGAAGCCTGCTTCTCCCTCTCCCACTCCCCCTGCTTGTGTTCCTGCTCTCGCTATGTCTCTCTGTCAAATAAATAAAATCTTAAAAAAAAAAAAAAAGAGATCATTATCATTTGTAAGCAATATCATAAATGGTAACTAGAGGACCTCAAAGGGATTCTGTTGAAAACTAAACCACAGTATGGTTGTGAGTCAGATATCTAATGTTGTGTTCTAGGATTTTGGCCTTTGTTACTTTACCCACACTGTCAGAGTTCAGGATTTGGTACCATTTGAAAGGATACTCCCTTTACAACCAAAAAGAAACTGGGTTTTGGAGCATTTCTAGGATTTGTTTATGTAAATTTTCTTATTAATCTGAACATTCCATAATGGATAAAAGTTGCACATCACCTCAATCATGTGCTACAGCAGTTATGCTCATAAGCTAGCAGTGACTTACATTTTGATTTGATGGTCTGAACATCCGTAATGTTTCCTTTATTTTATTATTCTCAGACCTTAACAGCAGGTTGGGATGAACTCGAGTGCCATCGTGTATATATCTTCTTATGTGAGCTGACTAATCTCTCCCGCAAGATGCAGACTGTTGTCTGCAGCAAACCAGGTAAAAAAACTACAATTCACAGATAATATTATACAGATATTAAAATAGAAAAAAAGCGGGGCGCCTGGGTGGCTCAGTCGTTAAGCGTCTGCCTTCGTCTCAGGTCATGATCCTGGGGTCCTGGGATCGAGCCCCGCGTCGGGCTCCCTGCTCGGCGGGAAGCCTGCTTCTTCCTCTCCCACTTCCCCTGCTTGTGTTCCCTCTCTCGCTGTGTCTCTCTCTGTCAAATAAATAAATAAAATCTTAAAAAAAAAAAAAATAGAAAAAAAGCAGAGTTCAAAAGTATATTTAAAAGAAAATCATGACATCCATATGTAGTAAAAGGACAAAGAAATATAAGGGGATGATAAACACTGAATTAGATTGTGAGGCAAACATGGCATGTGATTAGAGAAAGAAGTATTCAGAGGGCTCAGCTGTATTAATAATATTTTATTAATTAAGACTGGATGGGGCGCCTGGGTGGCTTTACTTAAAGTTTACGACTGAGCCACTCAGGTGCCCCATGTTTTATTTATTTTTTTAAAAATCTGAAGCAAATAGGGGCACCTGGGTGGCTCAGTCGTTAAGCGTCTGCCTTGGCTCAGGTCATGATCCCAGGGTCCTGGGATCGAGCCCAGCATCGGGCTCCCTCCTCTGCGGGAAGCCTGCTTCTCCCTCTCCCACTCCCCCTGCTTGTGTTCCCTTTCTCCCCATGTCTCTCTCTGTCAAATAAATAAATAAAATCTTTAAAAAAAAATCTGAAGCAAATATAGCAAAAAGTAAAGCTTTGACAAAGCTAAGTGACTGGTACACAATATTTGTTATAGTATCTCTGCTTTTCTGACAGCTTGAGATATTTCATTATGAAACAAATTATGGATCAAAAAAGCAGATTAGAAGCCCAATGAAACAATAACAAAATTGATTTATCATGTCCCAAACCTTTTATTGGCTGCCCGATGTCATCAAAATAAAGTCCAAACTGTTTATACAGGCCTTCACATTCTCATCCTAATCTACTTTTTCAAATTTATTCCCCATTATTCTCTGTATCAGTTTGACATAGAGTAGTCTTTATCACTTTCCTCACTGTGTCACATATCTCTTACGCATTTCTACTTCATGTCTTTTATTCATTTTTTTTTTCTAAAATACCATCTCTCTTCATCTTTTAAGACCCAATTTGCCAGACTTTCTCTATAAAGCCTTTCCTGATGCTTTGTTACTTGGCTTAATACATCAAGGGGTACTTACTTCATATGGCCTTAGATCATTGGTGGACTTTCTATTTACTCTTGTCTTATCTACAAGTAAGTAGAACATAAATGGTATAAAAATGTAAAATGGTGCCACCACTATGGAAAACAACTTGACCATTTCTCAAAAAGCTAAACATAGAATTGTCATATGACCAAGCAATTCCACTCCTAGCTATTCTTTTTTTTTTTTTTAAAGATTTTATTTATTTATTTGACAGAGAGAGACACAGTGAGAGAGGGAACACAAGCAGGGGGAGAGGGAGAGGGAGAAGCAGGCCCCCCGCCTAGCAGGGAGCCCGATGTGGGGCTCGGTCCCAGGACCCTGGGATCATGACCTGAGCCGAAGGCAGACGCTTAACGACAAAGCCACCCAGGTGCCCCACTCCTAGCTATTCCTAAGAGAGTTGAGAGCTGGGACTTGGAAAGATACTTGTATGCCAATGTTCACAGTAGCATTATTCGCAATACCCAAAAAGTGGGAACAACCCAGGTGTTCATCAATGAATAGATGAATGGATAAACAACATGTGGTCTCTTCATACAATGGAATATTTTTCAGCTATAAAAAGGAAAGAAGGGGCACCTGGGTGGCTCAGATGGTTAAGCATCTGCCTTCGGCTCAGGTCGTGATCTCAGGGTCCTGGGATCGAGTCCCGCATCGGGCTCCCTGCTCCTTGGGAGCCTGCTTCTCCCTCTGCCTCTTTCTGTCTCTAATGAATAAATAAATAAAATCTTTAAAAAAAAAAAAAAGGAAAGAAGCTTTGATGCATGCTAAAATGGATGAACTTGGAAAACATGCTAAGTGAAATAAGTCAGACAACAAAGGACAAATATTGTGATTCCACTTAACTGAGGTATCTCAAACAGGCAAATTCATTAAAACAGAAAGCAGATTTGAGGTTATCAGGAACTGGGGGCAGAGGGAAGTGGGGAGTTATTGCTTAATGGTTATAGAGTTTCTGTTTGAGGTGATAAAGAGTTTTGGAAATAAACAGTTGTGATGGTTGAACAGCATTATGAATTAAGTGATGCCACTGTATCATACACTTTAAAAATGATTAAGATGGCACACTTTGTGTTATATATATCTATATATGTATAAATAAATATATTTACCACAATTTTAAAAAATTAATAATATAATAGATTTTTTTAAGTTTATTTAAGTAATCTCTACACCTGACATGGGGCATGAACCCACGACTTCAACTTCAAGAGTCACATGCTCTTCCGACTGAGCCAGCCCCAATAATATTATAGATTGTAAACTATTGAATTATACACTTTAAATGAGTGAATTTTTTGGTATGTAAATTATATATATTTCAATAAGTCTGTTAAAAAAGACAAACAAACTCAGGATACTACTTCATACCCACTAGGACAGCTAAAATCAAAAAGTCAGATAACAACAAGTGTTGGTGAAAATATGGAGAAATTGGAACCTTCATACATTGCTGGTCGGGATGTAAGATGGTGCAGCCACTTTGGAAAGCAGTCTAGCAGTTCCTCAAATGACTAAACTTAGAGTTACTGTATGACCCAGAAATTCCACTCCTAGGTATATCCGAAAGAGAAATGAAAACATATGTCCACACAGAAACTGGTACACAAATCTTAATAACAGCATTATTTGTAATAGCCAAAAGGTGGATACAACCCAAATGTCTATCAGCGGGTGAATGGATAAACAAAATGAGGAATATCTATGCCATGGAATATTATTTGGCCATAAAAATGAAGGAAGTACTGATAGATGCCATAACATGGATGAAACTTGAAAACGTGCTAAGTGAAAGAAATCAGTCACAAAAGACCACATACTATATGATTTCATTCGTATGAAGTCCAGAAAAAGGAAATCTTTAGAGACAGAGGGTAGATTATTGGTTGCTTAAGTCTAGGGATGGTAAAGAATGGAGGGATGGGGGGTGATAGCTAAAAGAACAGGATTTCTTTTTGAGGTGATGAAAATGTTCTAAATTGACTTGGTGCTGGCTGTACATATCTGTGAATATACTAAAACCACTGGATTGTATGATGTGTAAAGTATATCTCAATAAAATTGTTTAAAAAATAGTCCCTTGATAATCTAAAATTTTTACAGAGGAAAATGAAATAATACTTTCAGTACAAAGTATATTACAGATGTCTATCACTGACCATATCCACTGTGTGCATATCCAATGAGCACATCAGCCTTTCTAGGAAGAATGGTTTACAATTCTTTTGTCTTCATAGGAAGTGCCCGAAAACTGGAGTTAAGGATCAGACTGTTCTGTAGGAACGTCCTGCTTGATCACTGGACACATCGAAGTGATTCTGCTTTTTGGTTGACACGTATATTAAAACCATGGCCAATGGTGAATCAGGCAAGATTATTGTATATCATCTTTGGACCAATATCTCCTCAAGATGGTGAGCATACATTTTTTAGGGATGTATGTTACAAAACGTTAATTACCTCTACTTTAGGGAACGTATCTTTTTGTACCTGCTCAGTTTCCTCATTCCTAATGATTAAACTGTGTTTCATGATTTCATAGATGTACACTACATTAGCTTATGCATAACTTAAACTTCAAGACTGCAGGCCATTACCAAATATATTCCTATCATCTCTGGTATACCTAAAAGTCACTACATTTCTAAACATTACCTTACCTCAAGATTATGTTTGCTGCTGGAAGGTAATAATAGTGTCTGTAAAGCACAGTAGTAGTTAAATTGATGTTTTACTTAATTTTGGGTGCATAATATGATTATGTGCATTTTTTTGCCTTTCTGATTAAGTTTTGCTTAGATTAATGTTAAAATTAGCGTACAGTTCTTTGGTTCACATTACCTATGTCAGGAGGTAACCAGTTTAAAGTAGCAGCAGGAAGCCGATCTGGGATCAGATTTTGTTTTGTGTAATTCACATAGAGAATTGGTCATAGGTAAATATTCAAAAATTGGCTGGATTACTGTGTTTTGATATATTTAATATTTGGAAGGTACTCAAATACAACATGTTCTCATTTTGGAAGGATATCAATAGATTTCATTTGATTTTAGTACGATTACATCAGTTGCCTATTATAATTTTTTAAAAGATTTTATTTATTTATTTATTTGACAAAGAGAGAAAAGCACAAGCGGGGTGGCGGGGGAGGGAGAAGCAGGCTCCCAGCTGAGCAGAGGGCCCAATCTTGACCTGACCCGAAGGCATACACTTAACCGACTGAGCCACCCAGGCGCCCCTATTATAATTTTTGTTACAGGCATAGCATTATCTTTGAACTAGAAGCACTATTCTACTTGGTGAAACTACCTTTTCTTTACTTCATGTAGCAATTGTTGCTAAACTTCGTCACATCAGTCAGAGACAGTCACACTTATACTGTTATCAGAATTGACTTTTCATCATGAAAGTAGCATATATAAGCAAATGGGATTCTGTAATGCAATCCAGTTTGCTTTTTAAACAATCCATGAAGTCTTTATTACAAAGCCAACTGTTCTGTCATAGCCTGGTTTTTGTTTCAATTATCCAGGACAGGTGGTTTGGCAGAAAATGATAGAAGGACCTACAGATGAATCCAGTCTGAAAGGTTTGGCTGATGCTATTAAATTACTGTATGACACAAACACCAAAGAGTGGACGGCAGATGATGTTATCAGTCTTGTAGATGAACTATCAGGTAAAAGCACATATTGACCACACAGAGTAGTAGAAATATATTCTTCGAATACAGTTATAAAATTGTAAGGACAATTCTATAGGTAACAAAGGAATTGCCTATTCGAAATCACTAAATGTTCTAAAATATTTAAAGAGTTTGGTATATGTTTGAAGAGAATGCATATAATCAACTTCCTTTCCTCCAATTGCCAATAAATATGTATTTATTATTATTTGAAAGTTTCACATTTAAATAGCTCAGTTATTTCCATTTTGCAAATTCTCACAAACAACCTCCTAGGTTGTGTAAGAAGAAAGCCCTCTCCTGCTGGCACAGATGGAAAAAAAATTTTTCCATTCCTGCAGAATCCTTTAGATTCTAAAGTTTATAAGGTTTCTTTCCTTACACAGAATTAGACTACCTTGCCTTTTGATATATGTGTAGGAGAAATGCTTTGACTATATTGCTAGGACATTTGTAAAAGCCACTATAACTTGGCAGTAATCTCTATCTCTGGCTGAATGCAGTAATTACAAAACCAAAGCACTTTGTGCTTTTCCCTTGGCTCTAGTTGTATTTCCAATAAGGTAATATAATATTGCATGTACTTAATGATGTTTACTAGAGCTATTATGTAATTTCTCACTAAATAACTGTTCTTCCTCTAATATAAGTGGTTCCCCGTGAGTGGCTTCTAGAGAATAATGCACGTCTCCTAATCCTAAGTGGGAACAACATCTGTTTCACTTTCATGGCTAGTAAAGCTGTGAATGGACGGGCCATTGAACTGGCAAAGCTGATAGTCTTTTTGGCTTTGGTAAGTAAAACCAAGTTTTTCTCTAGCAAGTTGTTTAACATTATAGTTGACCTACCAGGGAGCTGTCTTGAAGGAACTGAAATATGTTCAAAACATTTTGAAAGAATAAGTATTTAAGCATATATTTTATGTATATTTAAAATTTTTTAAATATATATAATATAAGATCATACTTGGAATCATTCCTTATATTAACCTCTCCCCACTTAATGTCCATATTTTCATTATACAGCTCTGCTGAGTTATATTCTTTTTTTAAAATTCCATTAAAAACAGCTTTTATGATTTGCTTCAAAATAATCATTGGGCAGCAGGGAGAGGATGTGAAAGTAAATGGTAGTAGAGAGGAGACAAGATTGGTAATTGCTGAAGCTGGGGAATGGATATTAGAGGTTCACTATACTATTATCTCCACTTTTGTATAGTTAAAATGTTTTTCAAAATAAAACATTAGGGGCGCCTGAGTGGCTCAGTTAGTTAAGCGGCTGCCTTCAGCTTAGGTCATGATCCCGGGGTCTTGGGATCAAGCCCTGCATCGGGCTCCCTGCTCAGCGGGGAGACTGCTTCTCCCTCTCCCTTTGTCTCCCAGCTTGTGTTCTCACTCTCTCTGTCAAATAAATAAAATCTTAAAAAAAAAGAAAAAAAGAAAACATTAAAGGTGCCTCTGGGTGGCTCAGTTGGATGAGTGTCCAACTCTTGATTTTGGCTCAGGTCAGGATCTCAGGGACATGAGATTGAGCCCAGCATCAGGGTCTGCTCTGGATGTGGAGCCTGCTTAAGATTTTCTCTCTCCCTCTGCCCTGCCCCCCAACCCCCGTTTCTCTCTCTCTGTCAAAAAAATAAATAAATAAAACATTAAAATATATTTAATATTCATTCATTTAACACAAATTGAGTGTTTTACTATGGGCCATACACTCTGTGAAATTCTAAGACTATGGAAGTTAATGGAAAAAATTTCTGACCAAAAGCTGCTTAAGGTCTTTTAAGATCTATCAAGGTATATATAAATAAATTCAGTGTGATAAGTACAAAAATATATATACAAAAAGATACAAACAGAGGTAGCAGAGGTGGGCCAATATTGGGCGAATATAGCACAGACAGGGCTTCCCAGCCCCAGTAGAAATAGGTTTTTAAAAATGAATAGGAGTTTAGTTTGCCGGGAGATGGGTGTGTGTGTGTGTGTGTGTGCGCGCGCGCAAATTATTCAAGCGTGTACCTGCACGTGTTACATAGAAATCTCATTGATTTGGCTACCATCACAGATGCCACCCCAACCAGTGCTTCAAAAGCACTAGAATAGTCTTCCAGGTGACTAGTGTGAGGAATGATTGATGGACTATGGAATCAATGGAATAGAGACAAGAATCTACCAAACCAACTGCTTAAAACATGAATGAAACCTCTGTGGCTCTTCTTAAAATGTGAAACCGTGAAGAAAGCTACCAAATTAACTACATTCTCAATGTAAATATTTATTTTAGTAATTAAGCAGATTGCCTCAGAGAGAGAGAGATGGAACTGCATGGCTATATTTGTAGGACTGTAAGCAGCTCAGTATTATTTCTGGAGTAAAATGTGCAAAGGAGAAGGAGGTGAGGAAGGGAGAGGCTAGGTAAGGAAGGACTTTGTCAGCCATTCTGTGGGTCTTGAACACATGCTCTAATAGGGAGCTGCTGAAAAGTTTTAGGAAGGTGAGAGACGTAAGTTTGAAGTTTTTGGAAGGTACTTTGGCAGCGCTATAGCAAGTAGAATGAAGAGGAAGTCACTGAGGGTGACTTCCCTAGAAAACCTCTGATAAACATCTCAGTGCTGATCATTAATTTTCTCTAAGTGGCCTCAGATTTGTCTTCTCTTCATCTTCGTTTACTACTAGTGTACTACTAGTGTTCTGAAGCCATTTTATGTGTAGGGTAAGTCGTCTCCCAGAAGAGACTGAGAGCTCTCTGACATCCAGACTAGGTGACTTATTTCTTTCATAGTGCCTGGAACAGTGCCTTACACATAGTACATAGTCAACAAATCTTTCCTGTCAGGTTTACATTATAACTAAATGTTACACTACTATAGGGTTTATTTTCATGCTGTATATTATTTGGCTATGTGAATTAAATTGGCCGTTTAGAATGTTAGTAAATAAACCTTTTTCCTTTTGGCCAGCTTTAACTATTAACATGTAATCTTTAAATATTTTGTCCTTTATTTTATTTTTTAAAGATTTTATTTATTTGAGAGCGTGAGCGAGAGAGAGGAGAGAGAGAGCACAAGCGGGGGGAGGGGGAGGGGGTAGATGGAGAGGGAGGAGCAGATTCCCTGCTGAGCAGAGAGCCCAGACACAGGGCTTGATCCCAGGATCCTGGGATCATGACCTAAGCTAAAGGCAGACGCCCAACCATCTGAGCCACCTAGGCGTCCCTAAATATTTTATCTTTTAAATAATAGATAAATATTCCCTACAACTCTGAAGGTGGAGAGTTGATAAGACCATAGTTCTCTTGCCTATTAAAATTGCCTGTTTGTCACCCTTATTGGATTTCTGGAAAATAGAGGCCCTGTCTTTATGGCTTAACCATTGTTTCTCCAGCTCTTAGCATCTTCTCAATAAATAATAACTGAATGAATGAATGAGCAGAAGTCTTATTTTTGATATGTTTAACAATTATTTGAAATATTAGTTCTTACATTAATGAATAATATGCCATGATAATCTTGGACAAAGCTTTTATTTACATGACACTTTTTTTCCACTAAAATTGTACCATTTGAAAGGAAAGGAGAATTAGATGTAAGAGCATTTCCCACTTATAAACTCAATATGATGTCATGTGTAATAAATTATGTAAAGTCATAAACCATCATTGTCAATACCATTTTCAAATTCTACAGTTTTCTTCACATGAAGCTTTACCATTACTCTTCTTATATCTAAATCAGGTGTGTGAGAAAGAACTATACTGCATGGATTGGGCAGTTAAAATGATGCAAAAAGTCTGTAAAGTCTTTAGCACTCCCATGGAGAGAAATAACTTCCTGCAGAGTGTGGCGAATGCATTTGCATGTGTTATAATGGAAATGCTGCAGGCAGTTATGTCCGGTGAGTGAGTGTGTGTGTAGACGGTGCACAAGTGTGACTAAAATGCATTCTAGTCCCCACTTAAAACAGCGCTAATTCCATGTAGACTTTTATTTCTAAACCAAGAATAGAAGAAGCAGACATTTTTGTTTATTTTTCCATGAGATATATTTAGCTCTTGGTTTTGCTACTTTTTAAGTCTTGTATGGATTTCAATGGAAAACCTAAAGTTGAAGAGTCTGCTCTGAAAGGAACCAGTTCCAGTTTTGCACAGCAAAATGTTCACTTGCTCACTTACCAACTATCCTAATCATCATAATAATGCCCTATATTGTTTAGTTTCAACACATACTATTGTAGAGTTTTATTAGTTAGCCAACATGATAATCAACCCTATTTTACAGATGAGAAAACTAAGGCTTAGAGACACTACTTGACTTGCCCAAGATCATAGAGTTAGAGGCAGTAAAGCATGGACCAGCATCCTTTTCCTCTGACTTCTTATTCAGTGCTCTTATATAGTTCCCTGATTTTGGTGGTTAATGTCTGACTTAGTAAATAAAGATCACTAACTAGTCTTCTGTTACCTATTTTTAGGGAAAATTGGAACATTTTATTCCAAATAAATCATATATTTGAAAATTTAACCATCATTTTCTTTTCCCTACTGTCCACTCCTGTGTGTGGCATACAGGAGACCGTGATGAAGACGACAGAAGCTTTCTGAATTTGTTCCATCTTGTGCACGCTCAGGCAAACTTCCATAAGGAGGTCTTGTATTTGACCATGAATACTCTCTCTACCTAAATACTCAGAAAGCCTTGCATTTAGAGAATACCTCACCGAACAAACAATTGGAAGAGTTCTACTTTTCCACACTCAAAGAATAGCATCCATGGGACTTTTTATCACCTAAATAACCTAACAACTCCAAAGCTGCACAGAATTTTAGAAGCAACTGCTTGCACCATTATTAATATAAAAATTACAGGCAAACCCAAGAGTGTTTTGAGATTTCTCCAGAAAACAAGCTGTGTCTCTCCAGATTTTGGTAAACCTAACACCCAACTAAATAGAGCACTAGTGTCCAAGAATCGGGGGCCAACCTGTATGTGTGGATGTTTGAAGCAAGAGAAAATTCTGTTTTGTAAGTAGAGGTGACTCAAATTCACTAAATGGCTTGTATCTGTTCGCTTTGCTTAGGTTGTATAGACATAACCTAGAATGCTTGATAAAGATCTGCAATATGATGCTTTGGAATGTGTAGATATAAATCACATTTTTTCACCACCTTATAGAACATTATATTTTGTTGATGTTTTACATGAACTAACAGATCAAAAACCAAAGGAAGTATGTGTGTATATACATATTCATACATATATAAGTATGTCTGTATATCTGTATACATACAAACACACACACACATACACATTTCCGTCTTTAAGACAAAAGTCTATAAATAGAGGAAAGTATATGTTGTCTTAATACAATTAAGTCATCTTTTATTCCTTCCTGGAGATTAGAGTAAAATGTCGCAAATAAGGGAGAATATAAAATGAAAGAAAGTACCCATTCTGCCGCCAGAACAATCTTCACAGATAATTTGCACTTCTTCCTAAAACTTTCCTCCCTATCTTAAAGAGCGGGGCTCGAAGGAACCCGGTAGCAGCATGCATGGTGAGGGCCGCCCTGAGAGAGTGGGGTTTCACTCCAGTAAATGGATTCCAAAGAAGCTCCAGGACTATTTCAGTCTGATTAACATTTACCCACCGCTTTTACTATTAAAATAGAAACCAATAGTGTCTCATGGGGCTGAAATCATGCTGGGGCCCTCCTGGATCTCCCATTTTCTTCTCTTTGGGTTTGATCATTATATTTCTGCTGAAGGCATACCCATTCCCACTGGACTTCTCAGAGGCTGGCTTTCTTTTCCTAAGCCCTTGACTTAACTCACCTCTGCAGCTGAGGAAGGAAAGGAGCACTAGAAAATATAGAAATTACCCACATAAGTGGGATGTAAATTGTGTAATTTGTGGGAAATTCTCAAGTGTTTGCCAAGAGTTTAATAGGATTCAGGAAGAGTGAAAATTTTGAGAAAAATATAAATTGTGATAACAAAATGTTACTATATTTCAGTAGCAAAAGCACTTACCTTAGTTTTTAAAATATCAGAAATTAACTACCTTTCCCTGATGAATCGTCCAACCATAATTTCATCCGTGGCAGGAATTTTTTTCTCTGGAGTTTAGTATTTGCATATTCATGCAGAAACAAAGTTCTTGCTTTTCTCCTGGTTTCATTTTCTTCCTCTCATTTTAAGAATTCACCCACAATTAAATGATAAAGATTAAAAATTGGCAGATACCAGAATACAAAATAATACCTTGATTTTAGCCTTTCTTTCTACCTCTTTCACTCTTTTTCCTGTACATGCTCTGGAAAGCCTAATCCATTTATTTATCAAAACACTGGTGATTCCAAGTTAACAGTGTACCCATTAGATTATTTGGGGGAGGGTGAAGAAAAGTAGAGGAAAAAGTAAAAATTTTAATGTAAACTGAATATTTTCAGTATTTCACTCAATAGACACTGTTTCATTCTCTTAGAGAAAGAAATTTGGCTTTGTGAAGTTTCCTTGAATTATCTAAGTCCCCACAGTGGTTTACAAAAGAAGCATGGTTTAACTTAACATGTTTTTGACCCAGATTTTGAATCTCCTTATACACTTAAACGGACATGACTGCTGCTATAAAATTTTTAAAACATATTATTATATTATCCTGGATAATTGTGAGATTATTATCTCACCCTCTCCCAAAATTTGGAACATAAAAAAATCAAATTCATTCTTTGGGTGCAGTAGATAAAGGATATCGTCTTGCTACCAATAAAAAGTAAACTGACAAGTTCTTAATTCAGTTATCAATAGATAAAATCACTAAAACCAAACTTGCAATTTCCTCAATTCAGCAGCCCGGTTTTTGTTTGTTTGTTTTGTTTTGTTTTTTGCCAAATGCATTTGTCATTAGGAATAAAGTGTGATATCAAATGTTTAAGAGGGAGATTAACTTGCAAAAGCACATATTGTTATCACTGGTATCAATGTTTAAGTGACAGACACTCATAGTACCACCAAAGAAGGAGTATTGGCAAAATGCATAGCCTAAAATTACTAGGAGATTGTCCACTTCTAACCAACTTCAGAGCAGTCATAACATAACAACGTGAGCTGCTAACAGGTCAGATAATTTATCCTATCTCTTCTCCTAGATTAAAGATTGACCTGGTCTTCTAGCTCTTTTTTTCCTTTTGATAGTGATTCCCTCAGTCTCCTTTGACTTTCATTTGAGGCTGAATTTTACTTCTACTAGGAAGCAAGCCGCATGACACATCATTATATTTATCTTACCGTTGTTTCTAAACACACACCATACTAATAAACTAAGGACACTTCTTTTCTTAGAAACTAATTTAATGTTTATATCTTGTGATAAATACTCTATACCTTAAGAAACCATGGAACATCTATCCTTAACACTTTTTTTGATAATTCCTTCTCATGCCCTGATCCCTCAACTTCTTTATCGTATTCACAATGCAGGCAGTAAATTACTGTATTCGGGAACTGGTTTAATCATTCCAGAAGTTCAAGTGGTTGCTTATCAGGTGGCTCTCTATAGCATGAACAGTAGACACCTATTTCACACTTTTTCCAGTGCTTTGATGTTTTAGTTCATTCTTCCTGTTCTTCCGATAAGAACAAAGGTTTTATTGCCAGGATAGTCATCCACCTTAAGTGGAGATTAGAGCAAGCATGAGGTGTGCAGGGAAAGATGCAACTGGGAGAACCATCTTATGTTAATAAAAAACAAACCTTTACCTCTTTGTGTGATTATTACCTGAGAGTCAATGTCTTTAAGTGAATAGTACTCAATTACATGATTACAGATTTCTTTTCAATTCCACTAGCAGGTAGCGGTGAAACCTGTAAGAAATCAGGTTATGGACATATCCTCCTTGCTTTATTGAAACATCACTAAGATAGGAAAGATGACCTGAAAGACAGCTGTATTGGATAGTCTTCTCTAGGTTAAAATAAAAAGTGCTGAAGTACCAAGAACACAATTTTTTTTCATCAAGAGAGCAAATATAATTCCAGAAAATTCTTCAAGTAACCAGAGACTTAAAAAAAAAATAGTTTAGCCCTCGAAAGGCTTTCTTATAGATATGTACAAAAGTGAAAAATATGCACCGTTATTTTTAAAGTATTGTATTTATGGCAAAATGTCTTTGATATCTAAATATTAATATTTGCTAAATTTTATTTAATTTGTTATTTATTAATATTAATAAAATTTAAATTAGAAACATTCTAACTTGTATAGAGTTTGTTATTATGCAAGTCATTGAGTATAATTCCTTTATTTCTTATGGAAGAACTTATTTTTATTTAAGCTGTTAGTTACAGCTCTACCATGATCAAAACACAAAACATCTTAATATAATGTTGCAATTAGGGTACCTGGGTGGCTCAGTTGTTGAGCATCTGCCTTCGGCTCGGGTCGTGATCCCAGGGTCCTGGGATCGAGCCCCACGTCGGGCTCCCTGCTCAGCGGGAAGCCTGCTTCTCCCTCTCCCGCTCCCCCTGCTTGTGTTCCCTCTCTCACCGTGCCTCTCTCTGTCGAATGGATAAATAAAATCTTAAAAAAAAAATGTTGCAATTAGCTACATATCTATGTATATTTGTGCTTAGTATTACAGTATATAAGTTAATTAAATAATTTCATTTACGAGCAACAGCTCATAAATTGAACAATAATCTGTAAGTAGAACAGTATTCTATACTATTCTGCTATTTAATTCAGAGACCAAATTCCCAAGCAATTAATGTTCCAAATACTACAATTATCATAGTTTAACATCAGTTTCAAAAAACAAAATATGTAATTAAATATTGTGGATTACCTGCAGTTTCCCATGACCACAAGATCTGTTTTTCTTTTTTTCTTTAAGATTTTATTTATTTGACAGAGAGAGAGAGCGAGAGAGGGAACACAAGCAGGGGGAGTGGGAGAGGGAGAAGCAGGCTTCCCACAGAGCAGATCTTGAGCTCGATCACAGGAACCCTGGTACCATGACCTGAGCCGAAGGCAGACGCTTAACGACTGAGCCACCCAGGCGCCCCAAGATTTGTTTTTCTAAGAACAAAGAAGTTCTTAAATATGTCTAAAGGTATCTGCCTTAGCATGTTTGAGTTCATAATGGAAGTTGTGTCAATGGCTTTTTCTGTTTCCTCTTTTATATATGACTTTGGTTGTTTAAAATTGATGGGAGCAAAACTAATTTAGAAGAGGTCATTCTAGGTTTAGCAAGTATTTGGAGTGTGTTAAAGCCAAAGCATGTAATTTACAAAGACAATTTTCTTTTTTTTTTTTTTTAAGATTTTATTTATTTATTTGACAGAGAGAGGCAGGGGGAGAGGGAGAGGGAGAAGCAGGCTTCCCGCCAAGCAGGGAGCCCGATGCGGAACTCGATCCCAGGACCCTGGGATCATGACCTGAGCCGAAGGCAGACACTTAACAATTGAGCCACCTAGGTGCCCACAAAGACAATTTTCTACTTCAACTATGCTTAAGTCTTTTATTAAGGGAAATTCCCTTTTTTTTGAGTAATTTAAAATTAAAACGATACTTTTAGGAGATTTGAAGTCTGAATAATGCTAATTTAAGCCCTTTAAAAGCAAAGGCATTTTCTGAAATTTAATAAATCATGTCATGCCAAGTTGGAAACTCAACAAGTTTGGATTTGATTCCGTATACCCAGAACAATGAGTCTTAGGTGGCTCAAAACTTAGTAACATTTCTCTTTCCATTATTTAACCATTTCCGAAAATATACCCTCTTTCTCCTGAAATAAAATACATCACTTTCCCATACAAATCTCTATTTTTTTGTCAAGAAAGCAGGAATTAGTGTATTGCCACATTAATTTTTTTCTAAGTAACCTACAATTATTTAGAGATGTTTTTATTGCGTTAATGTGGGCCAAGTACAATACCCACTCTATAGGACAGGATTGCCTTATGGCAGATTTGTAAAATTTATACAAAACTTCATATTACAGAAGTAACTTTTTCCGGTGTTTTATTCTGTATGGAAATGCCAATATATGCCAGTATACAAAGAGTTTAAATGTGAAATTAAAAAAATATTGAAATGATGAACACCATAAAACTCTATTATAAGCTGGCATATTATAGCAATGGATATAGCCGCAAAGTCCTAAAATTTCTTCCAAAACATAATCACTTATTTTTTAGAACCATAATATTTCATAAGTAATATGGGCACTCTTTCTATGTCCTTCCATTGCACGCAATACCAGTGATATGTATCAATGGGGTATGACATATTTATTTACTGACTGAATACTTATAACTGAACCTGGCTGCTTGTTTTCACTGAATTGTTTAGTGGTTCCAGCTATGCACGTATACAGCCTAAAGAGCCTTGAGCTCATAAAAGAACTTCAGAGAGAACTTGGTTAGAGACTAAAACTTGAAGATCCATACTACTGTAATTAACGGTGTACCTTGGACCCCTCCAAAACACTGACACTCGCCTTACAGTAGAAAAAACTTTAGTCTGAAACACGAAGTCATGCCAAAGACTCAGAGGAATGTTTTAGTGGGAAATGTCATGTCGAGGACTCCCCAGATAACGGAAGATCATCCCTGAATGTATTAATGTTCTGACCCACGCCTCCTACATTAGCATAGCTGTCAGATCACCTCCTGCTCTTACATACCACCACATAGGCGTAGTACTGCTCGTGTTAATATCCCCTAAACAGCTTAGGCAAATTGTCACTGCCACATATTTGGAGTAAATATTGTCATTTTCTCCTCACAGTGTGGTTGGTGGTGCCCCCCCCAAAAAAAAAAAGTTTTGCAGTTGAGTTTTCATTATAAAATGTCATGTGGAGAGAGCAGAAAAGGTAAACTATTCAAAGTTTGTTCCATAGGAATTCTGCTCTCAAAGGTGTGGTTTCCGAAGATAATGCATCCTAGAATTGTAGAATTTTTAAAAAATGATTATTTTATTTTATTTGTTTGACAGAGAGAGACACAGCGAGAGAGGGAACTCAAGCAGGGGGCAGGGGGAGAGGGAGAAGCAGGCTTCCCGCAGAGCAGGGAGCCCAACGCGAGGCTTGATCCCAGGACCCTGGGACCATGACCTGAGCCGAAGGCAGACGCTTAACGACTGAGCCACCCAGGCGCCCCTAGAATTGTGGAATTTTAAAATGGAAAGGGGAATTCTAAAATTAAAATTAGGTTAAAATTTAATAAATAGTAAACAAGTAACAATTTTGTAGTCCAACCCTTTCATTTGTCAGAATAAACAGAAGCCCTGAAGGTTAAATGACTTATGAAGGTTATTCATTTGTTACCAAGATAATGCTTCTAGAGCAGTGTTTTTTCCTGGCCAGAATTTTATCATAGGCAAGTTTTCCATTTTTACTGGATCATATATTGTAGTGCCTCAATTTTACTTCTTTTTAAGACATGGAAATTGAATACAATATTATAAATAAAAACTATTAAGTTAATCTTTCTCCTTGTTTATTTTTAAGCTAGAAAGGAAAATCAAATGTAGAACAAATATGATGGACTTTTCAATGGAACAGTTACCACAGATTTGGGGCCCACGTCTACCCTGAATTCCACAATATATGGTTTCCTCAACCCTAATTGGACACCCCCCAAAAAATGTTGAACGTTTTTTTTTTTTTTTTACAGACAAGGAACATTTGACAATATAAAAAACATTTATTTGGGAGTAAGAGAGAGACTTTTTCCCCCCCAAATAACAAGTAAGATGAGGTATAACTATCCTATTTCAATAATTTATAATTCAGCCAGTCACAAAGAATGAGGACCATATAACCATTTCTCTCTTGAAATGAGAAGGTGGGGTATGGAGTGGAAAAAAATATGATAAATCTTAAAAATTCAAACAACAAGTTCCTTCTGGCTGGAGAGCAAGACAAGGGCCACCACACAAGGTCACACTACAGTCTGTAAGACAGTGACAAGGTGACTACTTCATAGACGAAGACAGATGTGCTCTTGAACTTACAAGGGACCCCCTGCGTGTGAGAGGGAAAGGAAAGAACATATTTTAGCATCATATGTTGCACTTACACCTAAAGAAAGGCTGTCAGGATGAGTATTTGAGCAGTTCTCCATGGTAACTTTAATGAGTCTGCATTTCAGCTCCGTGTCCTCAACACCCTCTATCTACATACGGCTCGAACGCACACGGCATCTGCCAGGCATGCCCACGAATTCCTGAGGTCCCAGCTGAGGGCCTCTGCCTCGGAGCTCAAAAAGCCCCTTGCTCGCCAGTGGTTAACCATATCCGGAAGGCTCTGGAAGAGGTCTGCTGGGCAGCAGGACGGTTGCTGCTGATAAGAGGCCTCTGGTTGGACTGGAGACCAGGAGCTGTGGGAAACCCAGAAACAAGGCTCAGATGGGAATAGCGGTGATGCTCTCAGCAACCCGTATTGGCTATGGACCAACAAATGAGTTCGTCCCTCTCTCCTCACCACCAAACCCCACGGCTGGGAAAGGATGGACGTCTCCCCCAGACCCCACTCCCCAGTACATTTCATTAGCTACTTCATCTTCAAGTGGAAATGAGTCACTAATTAATTAATGCAACTATGGAAGCATAATTGCAAACCACTCTGCTGACATATACAGATGTGTTTTACCTTTAATTACCAAGAGGGGGGGGGAAGACAACTTGGAGCCTGAGCACCTAACTTGAAGGAAAAATACTAGGAAATAACAGTCCCTCCCCCCAAGCACACCACTCCCCCAGTCCATTCTATCTAAAAAACCTTCGCATTGTGGGCTTTATTTTTCACTGTAAAAAAAAATCGTTATTTTAAATTAGGTCTCAAAGAAAGAATTGGCATTTCTTATTCTTTGCAGAGTGGTCTGAGAAAGGCTATATGAATGCATCTGAGGGAAAAAAAAGATCTCTTTCAATTTTGTTTTTCAATCAATACCCGAAATAATGACCAGAAGCAAAAATCCACCGGTGCGTCAGCAAAGCAGGATGCTCGGCCAGCTTCATCCTGAGCTGTTCTGAGGGCTCCCCGCCGCAGCTGTTCCTTCTGGAACTAGAGCAGATAGATAATGTAGGACAGAATGACCAGGCCTATGATGGCAAAGAACATCAGGATGAAAATATCCAGCATTATGGAGTCCTTGGCTGAGGAAGCCCCTGGATTCCGGGCAAACGTGAGCTGTGAGCACGGAGGTTGCAGCCAGTGGAGAGAAATGGCTCCCTCTTCCCTCCACCGCTCGGTCTTTTCCCTTCCCCCTCCCAGGGCCCGAGACTAAGGGATGCTGCAGCTCCATCAGCAGCCTTCTCCACCCCCACCCCCCCAACCCCAGCCAACCAATCACAAAGCCCGGGAGCGGGTAACCAAGGCACTGCTGGATTTAGACCCGGCAGAAGTGAAGAGGCTCAATTTCTCCCCAGGAACCCAATCCCACCCCTTTGTATCTAAATGGAGCCTGCACGATAGGGACGTAGGAGGAGATCTGATCTCTATCCGGATCCCCTAGGAATGAATCCTCCTCACTGCCTTCCTTCTGCCTTTGTCCTCTAACACATCGGTGGCAAATTCTCTCAGAAAAATAATGGTTGGGAGTTGGGTGGGCCATGGGCGGGTTGTAAAGGTCAAGTTATGGAGGGACATAGAGGTCTCATGTGAGCCCCAGTTGGTCTCTCTGGGGTTGGAGCGAACTCTTGTGGGATCCCTATACTGTGCCAGATACTGCTCATGGGCTGTAATTTCAACCTCCCTCCAAGTCTTTTATAGATGAGGCTCAGAGCTGCTCAGGAACTTGCCTGATGTTTCATTGGAAGTGGGGGAGACCAAGATGGAAAACTAGGCTTACACACTCGGGAGTCCATATTCTTCTCTCGCCCCCCGACTGGCCCACCCTTTTCGCCTGAAACGCCCTTCACCCTCCCTGCACGGCTCAAATCCCTCTGTGTACGGTGGGAGGGCCAGGGGTCTCTCCTCCAGCTACTCCGTCTCTTTGCGGTCAGGACCCGCATTCTTGTTCTCTTCTGTGTCCTCTTCGGAGAGCTGGGGACAGAGTCCTATCCGAAGAGCACACTGTCAACTCCCAGGCCTGTCGCTGTGCGGGGAGAGTGCCTAGATATGCAAATTCAAGATGCCTTCTGAGGGCAAAGGAGAATTAATGTTTTATTTTTTTTAACTGGGTGGTGGGTACTCAGTTATGTCTTGTGTTGTTTTATGCCTTTTTATGTCTTAATTATTCCCTATTAAATTAAAAATACTCCCTCTGACATCTCTGAGGGCTGGTGTCCTCGGCTCCACCCTAAAGAGCTCCTTTGAAGGCCCTGGGGGGCGTGGGGGGGGGAGGGGGAGGGCACGAGTGACCCCCTTCCACATGCTAGGCCGCGGGAACTGCGGCCCCTTCTAGAAGGGGGTCTAGAAACTGCTCCCATTGGCCCGTGCCCAGGAGGTAGAGCCCAGAGCTTTCTGTGGGCGGCTTCCCTCCCAGGCAGACTGTCCCCTCCAGTCGCTCCAGTGAATGAAGCCTCCTGGGAGGGAGAGCTGCCCCTCAGCCGACAAAAGGGGGCAGGCCAACAGGAGGCAAGATCTGCCAACTCAGTCCCTTCTGCTGGGAAAATACCAGGCGGCCTGTTCCTTCGGAGAGGGAGCGGGTGTGGGTACTGTCTTCGGTGATCCCCCCCCACCTCTGACACCTCCTTACACCGCTCCAGCCCTGCAGACCCACCTCTTTCCTTCTCCCCACGACCAAGGCTCCCCCTTCCAACTCCGCCGCGGCCTTCCTGCTGAGCCCCCAGCGGGAAGTGCCCCTCTGCACAAAGCAGCTGGATGGGAGACACGGGCCTGGGAGGGAAGGCTCCAGACTCCTTCTCTACCACTGTCCCCTTCCCAACCCTGCAGAAGAGGGGAGGCCACCTGGCCTTCTGGTGGGAAGTCGGACCCAGAGCACCTGGAGCAAAAGGACGGGGGCGGGGGGAGGGGGATACAAAGACGTGAGCTGCAAAGGGCAGGGGCGCAGGGCCCACCATGGCGAGGCAGCGTGGCATGAAGCTGTGACCGTCGCACTGCGGGTCCTAAGACCTCGGGCCCTGCCACCAAATCACGGCCTCCCCGGGTTTCAGAACCCCATCCGTGAGACAGACATGGCTGTAGGTCCTCGGCTGACGCATACTGCTTTGGGCTGGTGGGATGGCTTCACCCCGTCTTAGCCCACCCAGACTGATCCCCCGTCGTTTCATTCCTCATACTGCGCCACGCTCTTCCCGGGCGCCAGGCAGCGGCGGGGGCGGGGCTCAAATGGCATCAATGCGACACATCCTTGAAGAGCAGCGATGGGCCTGGCCAGGGCGGGCCCTGGGGATTTCGAGGACTTCAACCCATTACCTGCCCCGTGAGGGCCCCGGCTAGCGGGGAGGCAGGTGTTAACCAGGGAAGTCAGACAGGGAGAGGGAAATCCAGGAGCTCGGGGACGTGTCCGGGAGGGCCACCACGCTGGGCAGGTGCAGAGTGGCAGGAAGAATTCTCCGTGAGGAGGAGGGACCAAGTCCCCATCGCAGAGCCCACTTCTGCTCCAGGCTGACAGCTTGCAAACTGGTCACTCTCTCCCCGAAGGGCAGCAGGGCTGTCGGGAGGGCGCCGGGCTAAGGGCCCGAACACCTGGTGCGAGCTCATGCACACACACACACATACACGCAGACGTCTGCACACACAGCACTTCAGAGCCAGAGAGAAAACCAAGTCCACAGGTAAAAATTATACTTTTATTATTTGAGTCACCAGGAGAAAGATTCACTTGTGGTCCAAGTCAAATGTTGAGAATCATAACAGGCCAGAAAGAGTTGATCCCAAGCACAAGCCCACGGGGGAGGGGACCAGAACAGACCAAGAAAAGACAACCACCCCATATAAAAAGATGAACGGACGGTTTCACACACACACAAACACACACACACACGCACACACACGGATGAAATGTTTGGACAGAGGCAAATTTCACATGGTCATTTGTTTCTTTTTAAATACAGGTTTGTGGGGTGGTATTTTTTTTTTTCCAGCTATTAAAAAAAAAAAGGCCCAAAAGTGCGTATGTGAGAGGAAAAAGGCAGAAATGAAGCAGTAAGGTCATTTTCCCTGGAGGGACATGAGGAAGAAAATAGGAAGCAGTGTGACAGAATTCACTTTTCTCACCACTGGGCTTCTTATATTTTCTTATTGGTCCACTAAAGTTATATTCACATTCTAGCTTTGATGCATCGTCTTTCCTGGGATTAGATTGGCCAAAGACCTTTGTGAACTGTATGAAAAGGCCAGGGACTCGGCCCAACCCTCGGTTCTGTGCTCTCGTAGGGATGGATGGTTCTGCAAAGAAGCAAGAATGCCTAGCAGCCCCCGGGTCCCTCAGCACCAGTGTGACAGTCCTTCTCTCTGGGGGTGTATAAGAAAAAGTCCCCTATTTTTAGGATGGGAGGAGCAGAGGGGCCGGCAGCAAGATTCCGGTGGCTGGCCTGCCTTGTTTTGGAAGGAAAACGAAGCGAAGGGAAAACAGGCCGCTTCTTGCTCCTCTAGGCTTTCCTCCCGCCTCTCTCCACGCTCCCAGCAAATCCTCCAACAGGAGGCGTCTCTCACCTTTGGTCCCCAAATCCAAGTTGTGCTTTGAGATCAAGAGTTTGAAAGGTGTGGACTGGTGCCTCCCCCAAGGCTCCCCAAACTGTTTCCTCTCTGCCTCCCTCATCCCCCAAATCGTCCAACAATAAAGACCCTCCACCTGCCTTCACTTCGGCCAGGGCCAGAGGAGAGAGATGGGTCAGGCAGGGGGCTTCCCAGGGGCTTCCCCCCCAACCCCCCGCCAACAGTTATTTCTTCATCCTTCCGATTTGGGGAAAATATTCCGTCAACCCCCAAGCAGTGAGGACCTGATTGCTGAGATTTGCCTGCAGGGTCCCCCCCGTCCCCTGAAGGGACAAGGAGGCAAAGATGTCAACCGGGGAGCCTGAGGTGAAGACAGGAGGAGGAGGAGGAGGCCCAGAGGGGTACTGAGAGAGCCCAGAGATGAATAAAGCCAAGCAAGGGTCATCACAGCTGCCAACGAGCGAGAGAAGGGACTTGGAGATAGCACCATCTTTCCCTTCCTCATCCCGGGGTCTGTGCTTCCAGTTTGAAGCCCTGGGACCTTCTCCTTCTGCTTCAAGGGGGCCTGAGGTTAGCGAGGGGGAGGCCGGGCGCCGGCGAGGCACCCCCAGTGTGGGCCACACAAGGTGGTCTGGTGCCCTCCTCTGCAGCCCAGGGCACAGATTTGGGGGGAAAGAATAGGCCTAGAGCCACGAAGCCTGCCCCCACCCTCACCCCAGCAAGCTGCGGGCCCCAACATCAGCCCCACCAACTCTACAACCACCCCCCCTTTACGTCTGCCCGGCACACCGGCAGCGGGGTGGGTGGGCTTCCGCTGTTTGGCAATCGAAGGAAAGGAGTAATTTTCACACCAAAGAAACCACGAGGGACTTCTCTCCCCTGGGGCCCTCCCAGAGACTCCCACGGGCCTGGACCCTGACTGCCTCGTTGTCACTAGCCTGGCAGATACAGACGTGCTCCTTCCCCCGCATGCGGAGTCCTGGAGACGGAGAGGTCCTGTGGCTTTGCACAGTTCCGGTCCACTTGGCTTTGGGCCGAGGAGGGGTGGCCAAGAGAGGCCTGAGACATCTTCCCATGGGGAGGAGGGGGGGTGGCCCACCTAACCCAGAGCTCAGGGGGGCTGGCTCACGGTGCAGGAGACAGCCGGGGCGCCTGGGGACTGGGGAGAGGGGGAAGGAAAGGGGCTGTGGGAGAGAACACCCCGTTCCCCTCCTTCCTGCAGCTGTCCCTAAAAGTAAAAAAGGCGAGAGCACTTGACTCAAGCCGTGCTTCCTGGGGAGCTCCTCGCCCACACGGCTCTGCGTGGGCAGGAGAGCGAAATCACAGTGTGAGAAGGAACACATGTGGGGAGGGACGAATGAACCCCAACGCGGGAACTCTACCCTCCTCTGTGGTCCTTGAGAGTGGGAGAGGGTGGTGAGGGGCCCCCTCGGAGGGCCGGCAGCCCTGTCTTTGAGAAGCAGAGGCAAAGCCCCTCCCAGGGGCAAGGGTGGTGGGGTCCCATCTGGGAATGCACGGAGCCCCTCCCCTGGGAGTCCTGGAAAGTTGGGGTGTGTGAGGAGGGCAGGAAGGTCTGAGGGGGCAGGAAAGAGAGAAGGCAGAGGCCTGGGAGCCAACGGGTCTCCAATCCCAGACCAGCTCCCCG